TATGTTCTTGACGTACATGATGTTCCTTTCACAAACACCAATGATGAGGAGTATCGTACCTTATGGAACCCCCACATTTGATATTTGGCTCTGTGTAGGCAAATAAATACAGGTAGAGGTCACTAAGAATGATAGCAGAACCTAATCTCACTGAACACCACTGATTTCCAATCGAGCCCTCAGGTCAACCTTTAGTGATATCCCTGGGCACAACGATGTTATAAGGCAAGCTGAATTCTGATGAGAGGAAAGTGTACCCGTTGATACGTTACATGTAAACGGTTTCTAACGATCCGTGTTGACTACTTCAGTCACATTTGTTTTGATTTTTTTCTGTAGATGGCCTACAGTATGTCATTGATGGCCTGATAATGCATCAATCTTAACAATCGTCATTATGACTTTGCTGTCCAGAACCTGATCCACCTTTGCAAGAATAATCATTAGAACATCATTTCCAACGACTCATATTTAACACACACAGCAATACTCCGAAATAACAATCTAGACTCTCAAAGGTCCACAATTTGAATCCTTGTAAACTGAGCAAAAGGGTTCGCCTGTGCATCTCTCAAAAGTGTCACTTGTGCATCTCTCAAAATTGTCACTTGTGCATCTCTCAAAAGTGTCACTTGTGCATCTCTCAAAATTGTCAATTGTGCATCTCTCAAAAGTGTCACTTGTGCATCTCTCAAAAGTGTCAATTGTGCATCTCCCAAAAGTGTCAATTGTGCATCTCTCCGTGATATGAAACATGATTACACTGGATCTCATGGCAATATTTGTTGCCGTTCTAAATTCAAACACATATGGTAGACCTCATGAGCGTTAATAGTCTCGAAATAGACGAACGCTTTGAACATTTTATCAGAACAATTGCTGCACACTATCAGGTACATTTGGTCATATCCTGCAAAGTATGTAGGTTCGATAATTTAACAACAAACACTTGTGTATCTCTCTCTCGCTCTCTCTCTCTCTCGCTCTCTCTCTCGCTCTCTCTCTCTCTCTCTCTATATATATATATATATATGTGTGTGTGTGTGAAAAATTTCTCAGAGTTAACCTGCAGAAAAAGACAATATTTATTAAGGTAAAAGACAATAAGAAAACTGTAATAACAAACAAAATGTCCTTAGCAACTGGAAGAATTTAGAAAACGCTATTGCATTTCTATTGTCAACTGAAAATGACATCATGTACTGTCACGTGTGGAAATATTGGTTTTATTGATGTGTTCACGGAAAAAGAAAATGGTTGAATCCTACGACACAACAATAAAAACAATATTTTCACCCGAGATAGCACTTGACATAATTTTCAGTTGACAATACAATGAATACAATAGCGTTTTCCAAATTCTTCCAGTCGTTAAAGACATTTTATTTTCTTATTACTAGCTACTTTGTTTTAATGAATTCATTTCGTTTTTGCCTTGAAAATGTCTACATTGGACGAAACGCGTCGTCTAATATTACAGTTTTTTTTGTCTTTTACCTTTTTACCTTTATATATATATATATATATATATATATATATATATATATATATATATATATACCTCTAAATATATTCATATATGTGTATATTTAGGCACCATATCTTCATTCAAACATGTTTCATTGAATAATATAGATATATTATGTCTCTTTATTTTTATATTAATCCTTTCTGGTTCTCTAATCAGTTTCTTGAAGTTAAGATGAAACCCATCAATAAGGCACCATAATTTTTTCCTAACCAAGTACTTTCAATCTTCTCCCAGCTCGTACTCAGGGGAGAATTATAAAGACAAACTTTCTGCAAATGTGATTTTAAAAAAACATGCATTAACGCACTCTGTTATAAATATTTTAAAAGTTATCCATTGTAGATAAGGAATTCTTTTGCAAAACAAGCGTCCCAACACAAGGTAGTTAACGAGAAATTGCTGCTTATTATTCAACGAAACATGTTGAATAATATATATATATATATATATATATATATATATATATATATATATATATATATATATATATATATATATATATATGTAAACATTGAAGTCAACACTCAGGACCTTTTGTTTGTAGTTTCGATGACTTTGAAGGCCAACTTCAAACACAGACAACATTCCAAATACAAAAACGAAGCACCCCCTCCCTGTGAAGACTGTAGGAATATAAATACGGTGTTTAGTGTTCTGCATTGCAATAGGTTCAATGCCAGGTGCCATTTGTGATGTTTTCTATGCACACATACCTCCAAGTGACACGATTTGTGAACTTGATCCTATAGTGATTGTGAGTTCAATCCCTGGGTCGGGCAGTGTGTACTTGAATTCAATGGAAGCGAGCAATAACTGATCAGTACTAAGTAAAATAAGAACTAGACGAGGTATCTTTAGACAAGAGCAGCGGAACAGGAACAGTCTACCTTCATAGATTAAATAAAGGGCTTAGTTCATAATTTGCTGTAGGTTACCCAGAGCGATATATTGCTGGTATTTTTTTTTCAAAAACGTATTGCTTGTAATATTTCTTTTTAAAAAATATATTGCTGTTAATAGTTTTTTTTTTCTTCAAAAATTTATTTATGGTAATAATTTTTTACAAAGTATTTCTGGTATTAAAACATTTTTTACACTTTTATAATGCTTTTTACCTCAGTTTCGGCGTTAACTATTTGCTCATAGCTGGGACCCTAACAGCTGGTGCCAGCCCGGGTCAGGGCGGACCTGGGAACACCAGCAATTAAGAGGTGGTTCCACGCTTCTCGAAACCTTCTGATCAGAGGACTGGCTGCTGGATGTAGTTTATCGTCTTATCCAGGACGCGGATATAGTTTACCGTCATACCCAGGACGTGAAGAAAATACCCATGGAACTGAAGATGGACATTTTCCTCATAGTAGAAGAGACGATACAACAGAAATGTGGTTCTACAGAAGGATGCTGAAAATATCATGGATGGGGCTTGTAAGGAACGACGAAATTTTAAGAAAACTAATACAATTACACTTAGATTCATAGACATAATTTTCGTGACACATAGTGAGCAAGAAGGGCTTGGAAAATGTGACACCCAGGACATATTGGAACCAGAAGCGACGTGTGTAAGTAGCCGTCCCGACGTATTTATGTATGGCAGTACAGGGATTCAGAGGGATGACAAAAATACATTGATAAGAGTTTTGGGATTTGTGGTGAACCATGATCACACCTGAGATGAAGAGTCATGGCATACTGAGGAAGAATGGAATAAATCCATACGGCGTATAGAACAAAGAAATTGTCGCCAAAGTTTCTAAAATATTTGATCAAGGCTTAAACTTCATATACTCTATAACAACATAACATATAAGAAATATATTTTTCTGCTTATCTAGAGGCAATAATTCCTTTGACCTTTAGTCAATAATATCACACAAACCGCAAAAGAACTTACTAAACAAAAAATCAGAGATAATCTCCAAATGTAGGCATGGGAACAAGTACCTATTATCCGAATTCATACCAAACGGATAAAACAGACAAACCACCAACAATCACAATTTAATTTCAAGATACCATCAAAATAATTGCATCTATCATTATTATCATTGCATCACCATTAGTAATCACTTTTACCACTTCACAATAACTATTAACTAATAATATTATCATTACCACCAACACACAGCACCATCACTTACACATCACACCCACTATTAACATATAAATCAACTACAATCTTTATTACTCCCCCAGCATATTTAATACCTTAAAACAATATGATCAGATATAATTTCCATATGTAACCATGAGAATAAACACCTATTACCAGGCAGCTTTAATATAATAACAATATTAATTTTGTAATTAAAAATTAAAAATTATAGCAATCTTCAACTACTATAATTTTACACAGAATACTATTATCAGGATTTATACCAAAATAAATTAATACATATAACAAAATAAAATAAAAATAAAATAAAAAACCAACAACCACTTTTTAGTTCAAGCTACCATCACTAGCTACCACCACTATAACTACATTCATGGTTTTATCATTCTCCCACCACCGTTACTAATCATTTCTACCAACTTACAATTTCTACCAATTTACAATAACTATTAGCTAATTATATTATCATTGTCTCCAATCCCTTGAAACATTACTATCACATCATATCATATAGACCAGTTATTAAATTGAACTACCCTCTCACCCAGCACATTGAATATTAAACATCACCATATAAATTATCCAATAAGGATTACAAATTTCTACCTGTTACATATACACAGTCACCAAAAACAAAGAAATAACCAGCTTTAAATATAACAAATAAACCCCCATTTTTTTTCAAAAATTTAAAAATAAATATAAATAATAATAATTTTTACCTATCATAATTTTACACAAACCCCACCACATGTATATACATACATGCGAGGAAATATTTTTCAGCGGAAAAATACATAATATGACATATATACATTCACGAGACATTAACGAGACATTTCCGCCACACTTCCAATATTTAAATTTCAACATTTCAACATACAAGTATGTATATGTGTCTGCATACATCGATGTTTGCGTTAGTATGATGAATGACAAAACGACGAAGTTTCCCCCACCACTTCCACAATAACACCAATACACGCAATCTACATAAACCCAAATTTTTTAAAACATTAATCAGTTTGTCTGACGATCGCTAAAGCGTGAAACCCAGGGTCACAAACTCACATCTGTCAACCAAATATATATATATATATATATATATATATATATATATATATATATATATATATATATATATATATGTATGTATGTTAATATAATATATGTCTGCATGCTTAATATTACTTGCCCCGTACTTTTCTTTTTCTTGTTATTGTTTATTGCAAACATTGTCAATTCTGTTTGTTCCGTCAATCACATTTAAGCATGACTAGTTGTCCTACATTAATCATCTATCCAAATAGTAGTTTTGTTTTCTTTCGAAGTCAGAAAGTCAAAGTTTACCTTTACATCGATAAAATTTCTCGACTTCACAATTTGCTGTACAGCCATCTCCATCATTGATATTGCCATCATCACATCGTTCTCCTCGGTGCCTGAAAAAAAAAAACAATTAGAAAAATTTCAAAAAATAATTTTACTAAGACGAAAGTCTGTTTAAAAAAAAATGAACCTGTTTAATGCTGTTGATTCGATTAGAAGGCTATTTCAACATATCCTCTCTGTATGCAGGAATATATGTGTTGCATTTGAGCAGAGATAGTGAGAAAAGTGAACAAGTGAGAAAATCTGAAGAATGGTATCTTTTTTTAATCATTTCATCCCAAGGAAAGCAATAGAGCCACTAAGACGCATAGGGTTACTGAGATTTAAATAGAAAGATAAGTTGTTAGTGAGTAGAAAATCACAATAAAAAAGAGGATTCAGGAAGAGAGAAGATGGCAATATACAGTTAAATTGTTGAGGGTTGTAGGTGTCAAGGAAGCAAAAAACTGAAAGAGAATTTGTTATATAGGAATAAAATGTCGTTGCCGACACTTGTGCTTGAACATAGATCTCTCCATTTCTATTCTCTCCTCTATTACTATACGGAACACTATTCCTCTATTCGGATCACTATTCGAGCGAGTATTATCGAGCAAGTACTATTAGTATGAGTGATGTTCGAAGGCGTCAGACACCAGCATTGTTCAACGGCATTACTATAGTTGTATCTGCGATTACAAAGTCTCAACGAGCATTACGAAAGTGACAATGAGTATTCGTTGACATTACAAAAGTGACAACGAGTGTTCGTTGACATCACAAAAGAGTACAATAGGCGAGAAAAGAAATTATTAGAATAAACCTTACGGTTCAACAATAAAACGATGACACTTAGTTGTCAATCTAGTAGTACGCTTAAATTCATGCGGTCGACGTAACAAGAAGACAAAGCTCACTAGAAAAATCGCCATAAAAATATTTCTAGAAAAAACAACTAGAAGCCACGTCAGTAAGAAAATGAGTGAAGTCGAGATGCCAGGTCAGGGCGTATTATAATACAGATCCTTCTTTGAGTTTTGTTGGGAATCTCGAGATCTATTAAGTGAGCTACAGTCCCAATATAGTAGCAATATTCAATGGATGGGCGGACGAATGGTAGATTTCTAAATGAGCAACATGGATACTAGCTGAAATGTAAAATAAATAAAAAATTGTATTTCCAGGTAATACATTAAGGATTCTCCAAACTTCGTAGGTATAGACTTGACATTTACTAGTTGATTGGTTAGTATTTTAATCATCTTATTTGTCTAAGGTTTGCATTTAATAGTAAACTAGATACCTTGTAAGAATTCTTTTCATGAATCCTTTCAAGTATTATTAATTTTTTTCTCACGTTTCTTTTTCATATATTTACCTAGCATTTACACATCGTACTAACAGATTTAAGGTAACCGGAAATAGGACAAAAACAGTGCGGGTTCGTTAAAGACACTGGAACAAGGAATGCAATATTTATACTCAGAATTATATCAGAAAGAGCAATATAAATAGAGAAGGAAATGTACCTGTGTTTTAAAGATTGTTCAAAAGCGTTTGATCACGTTCCAAAAGAATATTAGTAACCTGGGAATATTTAGGAACTAATCAAGAACCTATGACTGGCATCAAACCGCGCCGCCTGCTTAGGAATAAAAATATGTTCAGTAGATATAAAAAAAAATTAGAAAGGAGTCTAAGACAAGGATGTGTCTTCTCGCCGGATTTATTCAACCTATACAGTGAGAAGATTCTGAGAGAATTAGAAGTCCTATCAAGATTCATTATTGACAGCCATATTCTTAACAATATAAGATAAACAGATGACACAGCGCTGATAGCAGACACAGAAAGGAAACTTCAAAACTTCCTACAGAATGTAGCGAAGGGAAACGAGAAGAAAGGATTAAGGTTTTTAGTGTATGCTTAATCACAAAAAGACAGAATGCATGTTCATTAGCAAAAGGATAAGAGCAAAATTCCAATTACAAGTCGGGAATACTAAAGGCAGGCACAGAGATATAAATATCTGGGATGTGTTCTAATAGAGGACAGGAAGTGGAACACTGAGATCCCAAGGCATATTCAAAGATGCATTCGAAAAGCCAGACAAGAGTATTAAGGGACAGGAATTAAAAGGGATTCATTATTAGTGGCCACAATCTTAACAACATAAGATAGGCAGATGACGCAGTGTTGATAGTAGAAATGAAAGTACATGAACTCCTACTGAAAAGTAGTGAATGAAAGCGAGAAGAGAGGATTAAACATCAATTGCAAGTAGACGGAATGCATGGTTGTTAGCAAAAAGAACAGCCTGGCATTCAAATTACAAATTGGAAATGCCAAAAGTACAACAAATTAAATATCTAGGAAGTATTTTTTAACAGGGGACGGAAAGAGCAATACTGAAATGCAAAGGCGCATTGGGATAGCGAAAGATGCCTTCCAAAAGCTAAGCAATGTATTAAGAAACAGGAAAAATAGTTAGAATCAAAGAAAAGAGTACAGAACTGTTACGTGATATCTGTCCTCCTACATGGGAGTGAATGTTGGACAATTTCCTCACAGATGAAGAAGAAACTTGAAAAAACAAAAATGTGCTTCTACAGAAGGATGCTTAGGATAACATTGATCGAACATGTAAGTAACGACGAAGTTTTAGAGAAAAATGGAAATAAAAAGGAAACTTATACTTTGTTAGTTGAAATTTCCAGGGCATATAATGAGGAAAGAGGGCTTGGAATATCTGATACTCATAGGACAGGTCGAAAGCAAGAGGGACAGAGAAAAACAACGCATAACATACTTAGTGAGCTTGAGAAAGTGGATGGCAGAACAGCGTTTATATGCGATAAAAAGACGAAATTTATGAAGAGTTGCAAGACAGGAAGTTGTTCACAGTTATGATCGCCAACATCCTGAAAGGATACACTACGTAGAAGAAGAAGAGGAAGAAGAAAAAGAAAAAGAAGAGGAAACAGAAAAAGACGAAAACGAAAAAGGAAAAGAAGAGAGAAAGAAGATAAAAGAGAGGACATAGAAGAAGAGGAAAAAAAGAAGGGAATAACAAATCTCGCTATATTTATACCTTTTTTTTTATTTCTCTTGCTTTTGCAACGAGTAGTAAATCATACAACAGAAAAGTGGCGGGAATTTACAGGACAAAGAATTAAGGCGGCTTTACGTTTTTACATTTTAATAATAATAATAATGACCGGCTACTCATTTCCAAGAACACCCGTCTGCTAAAAAAGTTAGACGATCCCTGTTACAGACATATGATCAGGCACATTCGTGTTTGTTGAACACTCACAGCGCCCATGTCTGGTTCATACTGCCGCTATATTGACCGGATCTTTGTTGCAGTTTCTGGGAGTGAGGGCATAATCTGGCGTGATCAACAGTTTGAACAACGCCAGTAGCCTCAAAACCTCGGTCACAATGACTTGTTACTTTGTGCCAGCGCAACCATCGAAAACTTTGAAACAGTTCCATCTACCGAATTTCAACACAAGGTAAGTATTGTTGTTAGACACTTTTCAAAATTCCCACAAAATGGGATCGCCAGCTCGGGACGCTAACATCAAGTAGTGACCAATCGTCTCCGGTGAGCTTCGAGCCCGGGATTCATGGCTGAAACGAACGTTATAAACCTACCTACCTACCAATATATATATATATATATATATATATATATATATATATATATATATATATATATATATATATATATATATATATATAGTTGTATATTTTGGCAGCAATACTTCCTTTATGCATGTTTCATTAAAACGACAGACAAGGTACTACGGTTGAGCTTTTTAGTTAATTTTTCTTGTGTTCTAACAAGAGCTTTCTTTTCTGGACAAACATCCCTACCACACACTACACAGAACACATACATTCAATTTAGCTGAAAAATCGAATCATCCTTGATAATGGCTAAAGGTATAGACGAAAGAGCTCGGAAATATAAAACATTTGGACAGTTCTTACACACCCTTTGTCCAGAAAAGAAAGCTCTTGCTAGAACACAAGAAAAATTAAAGAAAAAGCTTAACCGTAATATCTTGTCTGTCGTTTTTAATGAAACATGCATACATATATATATATATATATATATATATATATATATATATATATATATAGATAGATAGATAGATATGTGTGTGTGTGTGTGTGTGTGTGTGTGTGTGTGTGTGTGTGTGTGTGTGTGTGTGTGTAGGACACTATGCAAAAAATTGTGATAGTTATTGTATAACGCAAAGATAAGATCAACTTTTACCGATCGTAATAATTAGGTAACACAGTCTTCAATTCGCTTTACCTTGTGATTCAGAGTCCAATGCCGAAACAATTGATTTGGAATCACTGTTTAATTTACTCACGAATAGTAATTTTTCAACCAGCCATTGACCTACAAGATCTCAATGTCATCATGGAACTTAGTTTGTATCCTTGACCATTGGTTTATTGTTGTACATGGGAGACGCGCTGGACAATTTGTCACGGTCAATTGACTACAACATCTGCTAAGACCAACCGGAGCGCGCGCAATTGGACTAACTTTGATCTAGTTGAACACGCAAAGTCCGCATGTGACTGAGTGGATCGCGTGTGACGAGTTAGTTTTATAAGCTCAAAAGTCGTCTTGAAGGTCGCAAATGTTTTACTTACGCAGTGCGTCTGAAAAAAGTATGCACACTTTGTTTGGGAAAAAGTAACGTCAAATAATATCACAGATTCGATAGAGTCTTTTGGGGATTTTATCAAAGAATCCCTAAAAATATAGCAGAAGCAGGAGACTAAAGACAGCAGCAATATTCGATGCACGTACGAATGGTAGGCATCTAAATGTGGAAGATCGATTCTGGCGAGAAAGAATCTATATAGTGAACCGATTTTTATAGCAGCCGATTTAGTGTACAACGTTTTCAGAAGTCACGTAGAGATTTTTAAAAAAATTGTAATTTCAAAACTATTTTCATAAAGAATGAAAATCCAAACACTAGAAATATATTCCTACTTAATTCTTAAAAGATATATGATATAAAGATCTCCTTTTTCC